AAACACAGTTTGCTTCAGGTTATTCTCTGGGAACAAATTAATGGAGTAGGTACAATATGCCTAGTGATCAAAGCATGTTTTATAGAGATGAATGATGAATATAGAAGAAAATTGGAGGAAAAGATATGAAGTGTAAAAGATAATTTTAAGGAAACTATAAAAACAGACAGCAGATGTCACTGTTGCTTTTCCATTACCCTTAGCCCCATTTTTGGGGAGGTTTGTTTTGAGAACCCTAATAAACAAGTTCACATATGTTAAACTTCTCTTTTTAATTTTATATTTATTAAGGTTATGGCTGTAAATCTTGCATATATAGTTTATAAAGAAGATACTTATAATTTATATGCTTAGGTTCATTATTCACCTTTTTAGGTTGGAAAATAATTTTTAATTTCATCTGGTTCAAAGTGGATTCCTATCAAAAGGAGGTGCTATTCACTGTGAAGATAAGCTTGACCTGATCTTATTTTAAGTAAGATCACTTACCAGTCATATCATTTGTTCTCTTCATGTAAGTAATCAAGAACATATCATCAACTCTTGTCTGTTATGATGACTTAAGAGAATTTTTACCATGTCGGTATATCCAACCAATTTTATGTAGAAAATATCTGGGAAAAACATCTTCCACATCAACTCTCAAAACACTGGTATTTTCCCCATCCCACATTCACTCCATCAATTCAACTCTAGTTTATAATTACAGTGTTCCCTCTTCAAAATAATGTCTAGGATATTCAAACCTCAATTTCTCATCTTTACCACCTAATCAGTTACCAGATCTTACTGATTTTACCATAAGTATTTTCCTAAAGTCAACCCCCTTCTTTCCATCACAAACTTTAAACTTCATGGTACACAACTGAAATATGTGACACACACACATATGTTTTTGTAAGAATTTGGATTAGTTTTCAGTTTCAGTACGATTCCATTATTTAAGGAGAAAAAAATGATGCAACCTTGGTTTTAATGAGAGAGAAATACAGTGAGATGTAATAATAGTACAATTAAAATTTATGAGGCTTGCTGCTTTTTAAAAATGAAATCTAATCATATTATCTTTTATGCAGAAAGCAGAAGCTTTACCATTATAATCTTAGACATGTTGAGCCTGTATTTAAAAAATCTGTAAAGTAAGAAACTTGGATAAAATATTCTTAAGATGCTTTCCATTGATAAAATTCTATAATTCAATAGGAAGCCCTTTACAAAGATACTTAGAATTGCTTTTTATTTCACTTAGAAAAAAATTTTTGATATTATATTTTTACTTTTCTTTAATTTTTCAATCAGTTTATTACACTTGTCTCAATCTTTCCCCATTTGCCCTCCTCCACCCATCCCCCGCCACAGTCAATTCCCACTCTGTTGTCCATGTACATGAGTCATTAATACATGGTTTTTGTTTAGTCCTTTTTCCTTCTTTCTACCATTGTCTTCCTTCCCCATCCCCTCTGGTCACTTTCAGTCTGCTCCATGTTTCCTTGCCTGTGGTTTATTTTGTTCATTAGTTTATTTTGTTGAATAGATTCTACTTTAGGTGAGATCATATGGTATTTGTCTTTCACTGACTGGCTTATTTCACTTAGCATAATATTTTCCAGTTCCATCCATGTTGTCACAAAAAGTATGAGTTCCTTCTTTCTTTTTTTAGAATGCAGATTGATTTTATTTTATTAAATGTCAAGATTCATTTTAAAGTCTCAGCAATTAAAACAACATGATACTAACCCAGAAATAATCAAGTAGAAAAATGAAATAAAATGAGCGTTCTAGAGACAAACCTATATATCTGAAAATGTAATATGTGATTAAATTAATATTTCAAATCAATGGGGAAAACAAAGCTTATTCAAAAAATGAGGTACATGGACCACTGTTACTAGAACTAAAACAAATATAGAGCCCTACTTCACACACTATACAAAATATATTCGAGTGAATTAAATATCAATATGTAAAAACTAAGGAGTTTTAGGAGGAAATACAAACTAATATTTTTCTTACCCTGAAGTCAAATATTGGAACCCAGAGCTGTAAAATATTGAGAATATGAGTTTATGAAAAATTTAAGACTATACATTAATATAAATATAAAAATTAAAAGGACAAGTAATAGAATGGGAAAGTATTTGCAACACAACAAAAAAAGGGTTAATAGTGTCTTTTTTTTAGGGAAAAAATTTTACAGGTATTTAATCAAAAAATGGATAATGAATACAAAAAGTCATTTAAAGCTTTAAAAAATAATAGAAATAGGCAAGAAATATACAAAAACATGTTTAGTTTAAACAAAAAATAAAGGAACAATTAAAATAACATCATTGTTGCAATCAGGTTAATATGTATTAAAAATATTGGTAAAATCAAGTATTGGTGACTGTGAAAGAAATGGGGTATTCATAGATTATTTTTCTTCATCTTAAAGTAGTCCTTTTAGCATATTTTGCAATGCTGGCTTGGTGGAGGTGTATTCTTTTTGCCTTTTGTCCGGGATATTGCCTTCCATTTGAATTGAGACCCTTGCTGGGTAGAGCAGTCTTGGCTGGAGGCCTTTGCTTTTCATGACTTGGAACGTTTCTTGCCATTCCCTTCTGGCTTGTAGTGTTTCTGTTGAGAAGCCAGCTGCTAGCCGTATGGGGGCTCCCTTGTACGTCACTACCTGTTTGTCCCTTGGTGCCTTTAGGATTCTGTGTTTGTCTTTGCTATTTGCCATTTTAAGGATGATGTGTCTTGGAGTGGGCCTCATTGGTTTCCTCTTGAATGGGACTCTTTGTGCTTCCTGGACTTTTTCTTTCCTCCAACTAGGGACGTTTTCCATAATTACTCTTCAAACAGGTTCTCTATTCCTTGCTCCTCTTCTCCTTCTCCTTCTGGTATCCCTATTATATGGATATTATTATGTTTCATGATGTCCTGCATTTCCCGAAAAGCCTCTTCGTTCTTTTTGTCTTTTTTTTTTTCATTTTCTTGCTCTTTCTGGGAGCTTTTTTCTACCTTATTCTCCAGCTCACTGATTTGTTCCTCTGCTTCATCTAGCCTGCTTTTGATTCCTTCTACTGTGTTCTTCAATTCAGAAATTGTATTATCCATTTCCTCTTGTCTCTTATTGATAGTTTCTATGTCCTTTTTCATGCTGATATAGGTTGCAGTAAGTTCCTTGTAGTTTCCCTGTAGTTTTTGGTAATTCTCTCAAAGCTCACTGAACTCACTGAGCTTCCTTAGAATCATTGTTTGAAACTTAATATCTGATAGTTTACTTGCCTCTATTTCAATTAGTTCTCTTTCTGGAGATTCCTCCTTTCCTTTTGCCTAGTGGGTGTTTCTTTGTCTTCCCATTATTTGTGAGACTCTTCTTTATTGCTTCTGCTTCTTAAATTGATGTATCTTGATTTCCTGACTTTGTGGTGTGAATGTCTATGGTAGGAGACTGCTGGCATTTCTTTCTGGATCTGCCTCTGATGATATCAGATGTTGACCCTGTCTAACCTTAGGCAGTCTGTTTGAAACTTCCAGAAATCTATGGTCTGTGGCTGTCTCCTTTAGTTATGAATCTAGTCACTCTGCACTCAGCATGCTGGCTTAGACACTACACGGCAGGGCAGAGTCCCTCTTGGGGACAGAGTTATTGGTTCCTCTCACATTGTTACCACTCAGGTGAGTGGTCTGCCTAAGTCAGATGGCTGCTGCCATGTGGAGGAGGTGTCAGCACTGGGATCCTGCTGGCTACTCTCTCTGTTCTTTCCCCAAAGTCTCTGTCTCCAGTCTCTCCTCAAGTGTCTCTAGGCCACTCTGCATCCCCTTTAGCCAGGGATCTACTATTTGTGGGTGCTACTCTGTACTTACCATACAGGCTTTAGCACTACTGGGCCAGGGCTGAGTACCTCCTGGGGGCAGGGCTATTGTGTCCTCACACTGTTGCTGCTCCAATAACCTTATTGGAGTGCCCTTGTATGTTACTAGCTTTTTCTCCCTTGTTACCTTTACGATTCTCTCTTTGTCTTTAAAATTTGCCATTTTAATTATGATGTGTCTTTGAGTAGGCCTCTTTGATTGGGACCCTCTGTGTTTCCTGAACTTGTGTGACTTTTTCCCTAACCAAGTTAGGGAAGTTTTCTGTCATTGTTTTTTCAAACCGGTTTTGTATCCCTTGCTCCTTTCCTTCTCATTCTGATATTCCTATGATGTGAATGTTGTTACATTGCATGTTGTGCTGAAGCTCCCTTGAACTAACCTTATTCTTTTTGATCTTTTTCCACTTTGTTGCTCTGACTGGGTATTTCTTTCTACCTTGTGTTCCCGATCCCTAATTCGGTCCTCTGCTTCATCTAGCCTGATTTTGATTCCTTCTAGTTTATTTTTCATTTCAGATATTGTATTCTCCATTCCTTTCTGGTTCTTATCCATAGTTTTCTATGTCCTTTATCATGCTGCTGTAATTCCCATTAAGTTTCTTGTAGTTCTCACTGAGTTACTTCAGCATCCACGTAACCATTATTTTCAATTCTATGTCTGATAGATTGCTTGCCTCAATTTCATTTAGTTCTTTTTCTGGAGATTTCGCCATTCCTTTTGATTGGGGTTCTTTCTTTGTCTCCCCATTTTAGATTACTCTTTTTGTTTGTTTCTGCATCTAAGTTAGCTCTGCTTTGCTTGCCTATCTTTGTAAGGTGGACTTCTATGATCAGAGTTCTGTGAGACTCATTGGTATAGTCTCTTTGATTTCCTGATCTGGATGCTCTAGGATTGCATTTTATTCAATTTATGTGGGTTGTCTTCTTGTATTTTGGCTTTGGTTATTGGTGACTCATTTGTTGATGAGTTCTCCCCTCTGGCTGGCTGACTGGGAGTCACAACCCCCACCACATCTTGTATGCTGGTGTACAAGTGCTGGTTAACAAAGCAATATTACCCAGAAAACCAAATCTATACCAGCAAAAATACCCATCCCCCCATACCACATTAGCAATATCAATAGCAATTGAGCAAAGATTAAAAACATGGAACACTTCATGAATTTGCTTGTCATCCTTGTGCAGGGGCCATGTTTATCTTCTCTGTATCATTCCAATCTTAGTATGTACTGCTGAAGTAAGCACTGGTAAAATACTTCTTTACCTGACATCTTTAAAAATTGTTTTAAAATTTGTGTTAGACTTGAATGTCAAAGCCTCCTTCTCTTAATAGTAGCTCCCTGACTATCCTACTCTTTTATCAACAAGGCTAGTAAAGTTAATTAACCAGTTTTACTGTTCTACTCACCTTTTATCTTTAGGCCCACACACCCAAATGATGGAGGATATTATGGGATTTCAGAGTTAACCTGCTCTCTGTTGATATTTTGGTTGGGGAGAGAAACAACCTGAATGAGTAGATGTAGGAGGTGCTCCAAGGTAGAAACTATAAGGTAGAAAGTGTATTCTCTACTTCTTGCATCTTGGCATCACTGGCTTACAAGTTTTATTCATGTAAAAGGTAGGTTTATGACATAGTCATAACTTTAGAATATGGATCGCAGCTACCAGGTCCTCTAGAGAGAGTGAGTAGGTTCTGCACTGGTTTTGTGGCATCCGCCTTCCCCTTTCTCTGGGTTCCTAATGCTCAAAGAACTACAGATGGTTTACCTTTGGCTGCTATCTTTGCCTTTCAATTCTTTCACAGTTTTAGCTAATTTGCTTTCAGCTCTTTTCTTAGAATTTAGACAAGAAATTGTCAGGTATTATCTGTGTGTGAGATTTGTAATATAGTTTGATGTCCGGTATTGTGATCTCTCCTACTTTGTTTTTCTTTCTCAAAATTGCTGAGGTTATTCGGGGTCGTTTATGGGTCCATATAAATTTTTGAAATGTCTGTTCTATTTCTGTGAAATATATCATTGGTATTTTAATAGGGATTGCATTGAATCTGTAAATTGCTTTGGGTAGTATGGACATTTTGATGATATGAATTCTTCCAATCCATGAGCACGGTATATGCTTCCATTTATTTGTGTCTTCCTTAATTTCTTTCTTCAATGTTGTATAGTTTTCTGCGTACAGGTCTTTTACTTCCTTGGTTAAATTTATTCATAGGTACTTTATATTTCTTGTTGCTATATCGAATGGTATTTTTTTTTGATTTCTTCTTCTCTTTCATTGCCAGTGTACAAAAATGCCTTTGATTTCTGAATGTTGACTTTGTATCCTGCTGTTTTGCCAAATTCACTTATTAGGTTGAGGAGTTTTTTGGTGGAGTCTACAGGGTTTTCTATGTACACTATCCTGTCATCTGCAAACAATGATAGCTTTACTTCCTCCTTTCCTATTTGGATGCCTTTTATCTTTTTTTCTTGTCTGACCGCTGTGGCTAGGACTTCCAATACTATGTTGAAAAGAAGTGGTGAAAGCAGACATCCTTGTTGTGTTCCCGATCTTAGTGGGAAAGTTTTTAGGTTTTGCCCATTGAGTATGATGTTGGCTGTAGGTTTTTCATATATGGTCTTTATTATGTTGAGGAATGCCCCATTTATTCCCATTTTTTTAGTGTTTTGATCATAAAAGGGTGCTGTACTTTATTGAATGCTTTTTCAAGATGATCATGTGGTTTTTGTCTTTCCTTTTGTTTATGTGATGTATTACATTTATTGATTTGTGTATATTGAACCATCCCTGCATCCCTGGGATAAATCCCACTTGATCATGGTTGATAATCTTTTTAATGTATTGCTGGATGTGGTTTGCCAACATTTTGTTGAGGATTTTAGCATCTATGTTCATCAGCGAAATTGGACTGTAGTTTTCTTTCTTTGTACGGTCTTTATCTGGTTTTGGAATTAGGGTGATGTAGGCCTCATAGAAAGAGTCTGGGATTTCCAGACTCTTGGATTTTTTGGAATAGTCTGAGAAGGACAGGGGTTAGCTCTGTCCTTCTCAGGTTAGTTTTCTTTCTTTGTACGGTCTTTATCTGGTTTTGGAATTAGGGTGATATAGGCCTCATAGAAAGAGTCTGGGATTCCCTCCTCTTGGATTTTTTGGAATAGTCTGAGAAGGACAGGGGTTAGCTCTTCCTTAAATGTTTTGTAAAACTCTCCTGTGATACCGTATGTATTTTCAAAACAGTAATCTGCGCTGTTGGAATGTACTGTTGGGAGTGGAGCTGGAAGAATAGTATGAAAGAAGAGGAAAGTTGGGAGTGGAGCTGGAAGAATAGTATGAAAGAAGAGGAAAGTCAAAGGAAGACAATTCTTCCTCTTTAGAATGCTATCTGCAATTAAAGAAACATTCCAGTGCCTGAAGGCAACAGTATGATGCCCTGTGGTCTAGCAACTCAGGATAATCAGAGAAGGACTTTTGCTGTGTGGTTAAAAGCAAAGAAATAGACAGGATGTGTGCCTTGTAAAAGAGTTTACTAAACAGAAACAGTTATGCAGGTGTAGGGCTGGAGGGCTTTGGAAATGGCACAGAAGCAATTGTCATCCAGCTGCAGTATGCAAACTGGCCTCCCACATTTGCTGTAGATTGTTGGTAGAAGCCTCAGTTCAAGTGCGTGAGAAGATGACCACAGTTTGTGAGGCCTTTGAATTTGTGTTTAATCCAAGGCTCCATGAAATCAAGAATCACACCATTTCCACCTCTTAAGGAAATGGGAATTTGATGGGTGTGTGTTTCACTGAATAAGGGACTAGGCTTTGCACCGTGACCACTATTCCCATCCCCCATTCTTGTGGATGTAGTTTCGAGAAATACCTATTACCCTTTGGCAATGGCCAATGATATGGCATCTCACTGGCGAGCACAGTCAAAGTATCTTTGTCTTCTCATGTGCTCTCTGTACTTACAGTATAAAGAGAGGATGTAATACTTGGAGGCTTTTAAAATATAAGCTAGTATTTTTGTCATATATGGTGGAGAAAGCAAGTACTTTGGTGTGTGACAAAGGACCAGAGTCTCCTTTGACACTAATTAGCAAGGTATCTGGTGGGCTCAAAAATCATTATTTTAAAAAGTCATTATTTAAATCCATAAAGTTATGGAGTTGTATTAGATAATCCTTCAGGTTTCTTCCATAGCTTAAGTTTTAGAATATTTCATCCATTAAGACTTTTTACTATATTATATGGTTACCACTTGTTTTTTCCTTTTTATTGAATTTATTGGGGTGACACTGGTTAACAAAATTGTACAGGTTTTGGCTGCACAATTCTACAACACATCATCGGTACACTGTACTTTATGTTCACCACCCTAAGTCAACTCTCCTTTCATTGCCATTTATCCTCCCCACTTCCCCTGTGCGCCTCCACCTGACAATCATTGCACTGCTGTCCCTGTCCGTAAGTTTTTTCTCTTTTTATTTTCTTTTTTGCTCAATCCTTCCACTGCACCCCATGCCACCCAGCACCTTCCCCCCACTCTGCTGTCCCTGACAGCTGCCAGACTGTTCTCTAAGTTGCCTTTTATGATTCCCTTTTGTAGTCTTTTCTGGTATTGATAGTTTACGTTGAATTTTTGGCTTCTATCATTTGGATCACATAATGATTTTTGTTTTTCTTCATTTTGTGTGATGAGAGATTTCTTAGAATAAAATTCAATCTCCTTTTTGTTTTAAGGATGATTGCATGTAATTATGTAATTAGGATAAGTGTATGCAGTCAGGAGCCAGTAATAAATATCAGGTTCTAACTTTGTAAATTTTATTTTTGACAGCAAATGCCTCAGGGGCAGAGCTTTCTTATTTATGCCTGTTAAAACCTTGCACAGGGTTGTGCATGTACCAGGAATTCAATAGTGATTTGCTGAATTAATGAAATACTTTTAAGGTGCTGAGCAAGTCTCATCTAAATATATGCAAATTATTTTAGACTAGAAATATTTTTGAAGTTATTTAAAAGCATATTATGTTTGGATCATATATCAGTTTGGGATAAATTGATTTTTCAAGCTGCTTGTTTTGGCACAGTGGTGACTATGAGTGCATTAGTTGTCTTTGGAAGAAAAATGATTTTTGTAGGTCATAAGTTAGGTCAGTTAGTCATCATAGATTTACTGTGTTTCTGTTTCTGTTTCCTTAGATTCGATATGCCTCCTCTCTTGTATATTTGAAGCTTATTTAGGAGTGTGTCAGAGCAAGCTGTCTCTTGAGCCTGAATTGTTAGCCTTGAGAGCAGGGACCACATTGTTATATTATGTTCAGAACAGGGCACAAGAGAGAGCTGCCCAGATAATAAAGGATGGTGATAAGCTCAAGTGTGTGCCCTGGCTTCTCAGTCCAGACACCATGAGCTGGAGAGCATGTGCATCTTTCTCATAGTTTTTTCCTTGACAACTCCTCTGAAGCTACTCTTCACCTTGGTATGAAATCTTATTTTGTTTTATCTAAAAATAAACATGCCTGTAACATAACTGGCCTACTTCCATTTTGAAGCATTCAAGTTTTATAAGCACTAAGAACCATACCTTGCATTATTTGTGTTTTTATGCTTAACACTTAGTAGAGTTCCTGGCACACACAGGAGTTTGATATATGAGAGTTGCATCAATTTGAGTTGGTACCTTTGACAGTGGGTACTCAGGCAGTTGAGAGCAGATTAAGATCTAGAATCCAGATTTCCTGTCTCCTTTCAAAGGAACAGTGAATTCTGAGGGCTCTTTGACCCTCACTCAGAATCTCTTCTGGATTAGGATTGACATAGATCTTAAGGTCATGGGATTGAGAGCAACAACAGACTTGGAAAAGGTAGTTAAGTTTGTAATTGAGCTTGAGGTGACCTTGGATTTGTAATGCTAGCAGTCTGGAGAATTCCTGGTTCTCTGACACTTGGGGAAGTTTGTGCTGCCTAAAGGGTTTCAGGAGAGCTGGGGACAGGAAGACTCATAATTTTTATTAAAAATGGATTTTGTTGACATAATCAAGGTATGTTGCACAAGTCTTATAAAACATCCATGTTGGTGCTTTTACTGGACTTTTAAAACCCTTATTGCTTATTGCCAATAGGATAAAAAACTATATTCTGTCAGTAAAGCATCCATTTGAGAAAGATGATAAATTTATTGGGAACATTTCAAGGCTGAAACATATTTATAATTGTGAATATGGCCTTATTTATAAATCATGAGAAA